CCCTTTCTCCCTGGGGAAGGCACCCAGCCAACCCCACCGCTCCCACCTCTCTTCCCGCAGTGGTTCGGTGCCCCAAGCCCACGGTCGAGAGGGGAAGGATGACTCCGCAGAGGTTCACCTTTCCCTACGGGGCGGCCGTGCGGTTCTCCTGTGACGAAGGCTTCGTGCTGCACGGCGATGCTGAGAGCTGGTGCCTGGCCGACGGCACCTGGCACCCTCCCCTGCCCACCTGCCGGCCAGGTGGGTACCAGGCGGGAGCCGAGCCAGCGGCCCCTGCGACACTGCAGGGAGGTTGGGGTGCAGCATTGCGTAGCTGTGTCTGTCCTCGGGGCTCCCCTAGCGCCTTCCCCTTTTTGCAGAAGAAACAGCTGATGTTTACCCGGCGATAGCTGAATTTTTCTTGACAGTCCTGTATAAAGGAGGCTCTAAGACAGGTCAGGAGACACCATCGTTACTGACTTTCTCTTCAGTGCGCGTTCTTACTGGCAAATGTCGATCTGCAGACTCTTGCATAGGGATGCCTGGATTGAGACATTGTCACAAAACGGCAAATGCCTAACGCCTCTCAGGGGCTGTTCTGACCTTCACCCTTCCCTCCTGAAGGGCCTGGGGAAGTAACTTTGCTTTAACGTTTGGTTTCACAGCTCCACAGATTTAAGTTCGCCTGCGCTGACTCAGTCTTCACAAACTTTGTAGATTTTTTTTCTACCTACGTAATGATGACCCTCTTGCTGAGCTGCCTTCTGCTGTGGGTTTTCCTTTCAGTTCTGTGTCCACAACCACAAGTGGCCAACGGAAGGCTGAAAAGCACTTCGGATGGTAAAATGTGGTACCAAACAAATGCGACTGTTACTTTTGAATGCCTTCGTGGATACCGCTTTTCAGACGATGGAGACACGTCTTCAGAAGACTCTTGGACAGCCACGTGCTTGCCTGATGGCAACTGGACACCGCTGCCCAAGTGTGTAAGTACCGTAGTCTGGCTGAGTTCCTGGATGGATGCTGCCTGATTCCTAATACAAAAAATAACTGCTTGAACTTCTTAAATGCTTTTGGTTTATGGTACCAGTGGGGGATGCAGACTGCGTTGGGGCAGCGCGTGGCAAACGGGACAGAAGTTCAGGCTCAGAGCTGAGGAGTGGGTGGCTCTCCATCTGCTGCAGTCCAATCTTACGTGCTTTTTTCTGGGTTTTGTTTGTTTTGTTTTACTTTTTAACAGAAGAAAGAAGGTGATGCTGATGTGTGCGAAGAGATTCATTATATTAAAACAGTCTTTGAATGTGGTGTGCCTATAGCAGAACTGAAAACTCTGCTGGAAATACAGAAACTGTTTCTGGAGATTAAAAAACTAAAGGTGGAACTAGAAAACTTGAACAAGTGAGTCCTGTAACGATCACCTTTGGTGAACATGCAGTTCGTGTAGTCACAGTATCTATAAGAAGGCTCTTAGTGACTTTACAGTTCATGCTTGCATGCATATAGCCAGAGAAATAATAACCAATGTATGGGAGACTGCTTTTGCCATGCTAGATGCTAGAGCATAGAGGGGTCTTTGCTCTTTTCCTTAAGTCTGACAAGCTTGATTCCCTATGGAACAAACGAGTTGTCTCACATTTTATTTTAGGAAGCATAGAAAGAAATTAAACTGAGGTTCTTTGAGTCACTGCATAAACTGTGCTAAGCCGAGAGAAGGGGGAGTGAAGTCCACAGAAGTAAACTTCCAGCTGAGATGAGTGTCTGGCTCTCTGAAGGTGCTTCTGCTGTAATCTTCCAGCCGGTGGTTTGCGCAATGCCGCATCCTCTGCCCGTACTGAACTCAGCCTGTCATAGCATTAGCATACTTCTTCTGCCTAGAAATAGTAGTGAAGTGAGCGTTTAACTACGTGATTTCCTGTTAATCTAGCTCGTGATTTCTATACATCTAGGGCAGTTACATATAAGAAGTGCATTAGTAAAGGCTTCCGTTCCCTCATCCCTGGATTTAAAACAGGCAACAGGTTTCTGGCCCAGCCCTGTACTCGACAGATATCTGTGGTGGTGTCATCTTCTGTGTCCCTATTTCCGGCAAGCAAATGCTAAGAATAGATGTTGTAAGTTTAAGTGTCGAGAATCAGACAGGAAAGATTGTTCTTATTACTTAATAAACGATGATCGGTTTATGTAGCTCTGTGATGCAGCAATTACTCCTTCCCTTCAGGATTACAATAAAGATGCAGGTGTAACCATGGGTGTCTTGTAATCTGTCGCGTTGCCTGTAAATTAGGCAGATTTCCAGTGTGGTACAATGGTGGTTCTGATTGAGACCCGAGCCCTGGCAGCCCGGGTCGGTCCTCGGGGCGCTCTGGGAGCCGCAGTGGGCACGGCACGGCAGGCAGCCGCGGGGCTGAGGGCACCGTGCAGCGCAGCAGTGCGCTGCTGCCTGCGCTCAGTGGGAGAAGGGGGAGCACTCATCTCCTGCACAAGCAAATTGCAGCAGTATATCATTGCCAGATGCGTGCTTTTATGAATTATTAGAGTTGCTTTAAATGTTACTAGAGCCTAAAGCACAACACCCAGGGAAGAGATGGCGTCTCCCATCCTTACACAGAAAGATGCTTTGATAATGTATCCTGTGCTTCACCACGTCCCGGTGAGAAGATCTGCAATGAGAGGCACTCTCAGACCCACCCTGGTTCTCCCTGTGCCACAAGGAGAGCAGGGCTGCACCCTCCTGGTGTGACGCCTCGCTCTTCTCCACGTTGTGCTGACCTGGGACTGCAGACAGAAAGTGTCTTATCTCCCTGTGCAAGGCTCGAAACCCGTAAGCATGAATAAGAACTGGGTGTTACGTCCCATGTGTATCTAAGACTGTGTCTGAGTAGTCTTGACTGCTGTCAGACGGGATATTTCAGACCATTAGTCAGTGCGCAGATGTATTCACTTACACCCATTCCTAATTACAAATGAGTCAGGCAATCAAGAAAAAAATTAACAAACAAAAAGGATAATGCTTTTATTTTTTGTTTCACTAACTCTGCTTATGGAAGATCTGTGTTGCTTACCTGCCAGCAGATGACTAAGTAGGCATTTTCCTACCGTGGATACAGCTTGGGGCTGGGTGGGGGTCTTTTCTGCTCTGGTAGCATTTGGTTTTGGTAAAACTGTGCTAGTCAGTGCTCACTGCCTGTCTCGGGTCAAATAAAAGGGTTGAGTTACTCCCTCATTCCTTACAGTGGGGCAGGAGGACCAGGAGGCTTTACCCAAGCCTGTGGATGACAGTTGTCCCCCACCCCTGGCTGCTCTCCGTGTCCCTGCAGGAGGATTTAGCTCCATGGATGTTCTGGAAAGGTTTCCATTGCTCCAGAGGCTTGGCTGAGTCTGCTGCGCTGCATCTCCTCCCAGCTTCAGAAACAGCCCCTTGGAGCCAACGGTGCTCGACAGAGGAGCACAGAAATTGCTGCAATGAAGTCTGGAGAGCCAGGACGGGGGAAGCACCCAGGCACCCTGAGCTGCAGGGCACCTGCCAGGGCATGGGGGTCTGGCCACCCTGTGCTGCTCCTGGCCTTGCTGGGGCTCCTAGGCATGCCAGTGGCTCGCGGTGAGTATGGGGATGTGGGATGCGTGGGGAGGACCGGCGAGACCTGCCTGGGTCCCACTTGCTGCTCAGGTGCTGGGGGGGTGATGCCACCACCCCTAAGCATGGGGAACCATTGCTTGATGCTCTCATGGATGCAGCCCTGCCCAGTGCCTTTGCCCAGAGGGGGAAGCCTGGGCCAGCACAGCTGCACTCCTGGGATGTTTGCTGGGGTTGGGGAAGGGGCCAGGGAACGGGGTCCTCACCTGAGGAGGTCTTCTCCTGCCGCAGGTGACTGTGGGTCCCCACCTCGCATGACCCACTCCAGACCATCCAGCGACGAGCACGCCAGCAGCTTCCCCGTTGGATCCAGGGTGACGTACACATGCATTGAAGGCGCCATCAAAATTCCCGGGAGGTCGGACACGGTGGAGTGCCTGCCCGGCGCACGCTGGTCAAAACTGCCCGAGCCCTGCAGCCGTAAATACCTCCTTTCTCTGAAACACAGCTCCCTCGCTTGTCTCTGGCTTGGCTTAAAGTTTCTGCCACTTACGGCGGCTGCTCTGCAATGGCACCACCCAACCCGGCAAGGCACAAACCTGTTTCCCGTAGCTGCCGTTCGTCAGAGCTGCTGATGGGTGCAGGATCTGTGCCTGTTGTCGAGGGGGTCAGTCGGACAGTGGCTGGAGCCCAGGATGCTCGCGCGTCTCCCGAGCCCTGGCTGGCAGAGGCTGTGCAGGCGGCTGCAGCGTATGCTGCCCCGCAGTACGTGCATGTGGCTGCCGATATCCCACTAACAGCTTTGCCTGTGCAGTTAATGCATCTTGATTCGCATTTTGCAAAAGATGCATTCAGCAGAGTAGCAGCCTGGTATGGAAACACAAGTAACCTGCGATGAACACGAGGAGCTTTCCAAAAGCGCCGTAGTGAGAGCGTTTCTGTGGTTCCGAGGTTTATTTTGCATGCCTTCTGGCGGGCGGCTCTTTCAGGCCCGCTTTCCTTGACTGCCAGGGAGCTGTGCTGCCCCGACAAGGTTGCGGTTTGCTGCCCTGTCCAAGGCGGACGAGAGGATTAATTTCTTTCCTGTTGGGACCAACGTGAGCTACGTCTGCCGCCCTGGCTACGAGAACACCTCGGAAAGTTCCCCCACCAGCACTTGCCTTGAAAACCTGGCGTGGTCGGAAGCTGCTGAGCTGTGCAGGAGTGAGTATCTCTGCTCTGCTCCACTCTGCTTGCTGAAAAGCAGCTGTGGAGTTCGGAGCAGGTCAGGTAGCTGCTCCCACCCGCGTGCTGAAATGCAGCTGGGTCATTATCATCCCAACAGCTACATGTTTAATCCAAAATTAGGTGGATGTTCCTTGACATTCGTATTTCAGGCTGAACAGCAGGAATATCAATCGTGTTGGGTTTTTTTCTGCTGGCACGAACAGATCTGTTTCGATTTTCATATTAGGAAGTATGTTTGCATGTGGACACGGCATATGCACAGGGCAAATGCCAATTTGCAATTCTAGCATTGAACTTCGAAATTAAGACAAAGCATGTTTCTTGGTGAAATCCATGCAATATTAAGACTGATGATGTGGCAGCAATACATTTTTCACGGTCGAGTAACTTACTGCCAATCTATTGAGATGGAAATACCTCTGCAAATATTCTCCTCTGCCCTCCTGCGAGATGCTTACCGCTGTGAGCGTGGAGCCCTTACGGGGATCCACACCTTCATCTACAGATGATTCTGGCACCTGCCAGCTCGGCTGGGACACGTAGGAAGTAAAACGCTTTGGTACCTTTGGGTATAACCCTCTAAGTCTGTCCCTTATTTAGCCTTTTTTATTCCTCCATCACTGTGTGTTACCACTAACGCTGGCCTCGTTCTCTGGCAGGGAGATCCTGCGGCGACCCCGGAGCGCTGCCCGGGGGCAGGGTGGTCGCTCTCACAGACCTGCAGTTCGGTGCAAGAATGAACGTGTTCTGCGAAGACGGGTGAGTCGCGGGGCAATGCCCCGAGCTCCAGTACAGCGGTGCTGATGCTGGAATACGAACTCCGGTCCAGTGCAATGAGCTTGTGGACACGGGCTGGGCTGCTATTTCACAATATATCGCTCCTATGGTGTTGCTCCAAGTGCAGAGCATGAGGCTGCTTTTCCCACTTGAATTACAGCTTTGGGCTGGGAGGGAATAAGACGCAGCTGGAGGGAAGGGACTGGGGTCTGAATTTATGGCTGCCTTTTCCTTCAAGTGACATCCAGAGGAAATTTAACTGCCCCAGGATATCTACCCCAGCAGAGCTGGTTGTACATCAGTTTATAACTATAGACTTCAAAACAGGTTACTTAAAATATTTCAACTTAACATATTTGAGAGATATTGAATAAAAAGGGGTTATGTTTGAATTTTTAAAGTTCAATGATGTTCAGCTAGAAAACTGCAGTGAAGCACACTTTCCGTCAGTCAGAGAGCTGACTCACACTTTCTGCCTGCTTTCAATCAGGGCACATACACAGTAGACTGACTTGCAAAATTAAGCTCTTAAGACTCCAGCTACTATTCCTCCCTCCCTAGCAGGAGCTAGCTGGCATCAACTGGCTTGTTCTGTCAGTCTTTGCAGCTGCTTCAAATGTAACAGAGCTTTTTTTCCTCCAGATATTCCCTTAGGATGGCCTTTGGGGAAATGACAGCCTGTCCCACCCTTCTGGGGTTCAATTAATCTTCGACAATACACATCAGGGTGGAGGGATAACGTTATCCATCTAAGCAAGGTCAGATACTGTCAATCATGTCTAAATGATGAATTTTTTTGAACAGAAGGATGCAGTTCAGAGATTGGGGAAGGTGTCGGTGCTGTCAGAACAGGAGGTATTAGCTTCCAGCAAGCCAATCCAAAAGCCACTTTAATGAACTGTAGATCCCTGTTGCCTCTCACGGGTCCCTGCTGTACGCAGTGGATGCATTTGAATTTGCTTTTCCGGCAAAACTTTAGCAAAACAGCTACACCCTTACAACCCAAAAGCAACGTCCCAGGGAGGAGGTGGCACTGAAGGAGGCTGGGCGCCTTGCCCTCTACCACCAGCACCGAGGATCGCAGCAGATCCAGCTAACTGACCTCGGTAATGCAGCACCGCTGCGAAGCGGAGCGGCAGCCAGG